CGGCGCAGCCGAGGTGCGCCAGCGCAGCAATTGGTTATGAAACTTAGGACTTGGGCTTATGCAAAGGAGCTTACTTAAATTCCTTGGGCTTTGTATGTCAATGTACTTAAACCCCACTTGGGGCTATACTTGTGAATTCATTTAAACCCCGCTTGCGGTTATATAGGTCCATTCAATTGCACTTTGCCTGAGGCTATATATGTCAATCTATATAAACTTCGCTCGGAGCCATGTATGTTTGGGCCTATATATGCCAGTCTATTTCAATTCGGTTTGGGGCTGTGCATGTCTTAAATCTCGTCTGGGCCTGTGTGTAAGAATTCACTATAACGGTGATTGCGCCTATGTATGTGACTTTACTTAAACCCGTCTAGCCCTATGCATGTCAATTTACTTAAACTCCGTTTGGGGCGAAATATATCGATTTACTTAAACCCCGCTTGGGGCTATGTATGTCAATTTACTCAAACGCCTGGCTTCACATGTCAATTTACTTAAACACGGTCTCTTGCTTCGCCGCTTCATATGTCAGTCTACTTAAAGCCCGTTATGGCTACCTATAATAATGTACTTAAACCCCGTCTTTGACTTCATATGTAAATATACTTGAACCTCGTCTCTGGCTCCTTATATCAATTTACTAATTCCCGTCTTTTACTACATATGTCAATTTACGCAACCACCATCTTTACCGCCGGAGAGGTGTGAATACATTGAAGTGAAAAGCACCCGGAAAGATTTAAGTAAAGTGAAGGTTGAAGAGCCCGCGGGAAGGTTTCAAGTGAAAGGAAATACAAGCCCCGCAGAGGTTTAAGTTAATTGAATGGAAGAGCTTTCCGATATTTCAACTGTCTTAAACCTCTGCGTGCAATGACTGCCCGGTTTCGTGCGACTGGCTCCAGACCCACTCGCCCCGTGTCTTCAATGGCAACATATTATAGGTATAGGAGAAGGTTTACACTTTATTCTAGGTTTCATATGTACGTACATATATCGATAAATTTATAGATGCACAATATGTGAAAAGATTTCGATTTAGCTACAATAAACAAGCTGGAAAATGCAGAGATATACTGATACAGATACGAATCTAAATCATACATGTGTATAGCTGTATATATGTACTGAAACGAAAAATATATTCAGATATGTTCATATATATATATATATTCACATGTGACATATATACATATATGTATATGCAGAAAGTTAGAAAATATCTTTAAATATAGAGATCCACACAGCATAGATCTAGGTATAAAAGACAGAAATGTGCGTATATGTAGTATGTATGTATAAATGGCAGGGATATTTGCTGTATATATATATATATAATTACAAACAAAGACTTAAATATAAATCAAGATATAGATACAAATGAAGATATATACATATATACAGATTCAGATATAGATATGGACATAGATATAAACATAGCATACGTGCATGAATTGTTAGAAATATCTGCAAATAAATTCGAATAGCATATATAGTGCATGGCTATCTGTGTATATATATTGAACTAGATTCACATGTATAGTATAGAAATCATTATTATCAACATGTGTTTGTTGGTATGTATATATATACATATATGTAGCAATATAGATATAGCTATGGATATGGGGATAGATATAGGTATAAATATAGGTTTAAATATACGTATAGATATACTTATAGATGTAGGTTCAAATTTAGGTATAGATATAGGTATAGATATAGGTATAGATATAGGTACAGATATAGGTATAGGTAGACGTATAGATATACGTATAGATATAGGTATAGATATAGGTATAGGTATAGGTATAGATATACATATAGATATAGGTATAGGTATATATATATATATATAGGAATAGATATAGATATTGACATTAGTATTGACACACACAGAGATATAGATGCAGATACTAGTATAGATATCGATGCAAATAGAATATAGATATAGTTAAGATATAGATACGGATAAAGATATAAGTATAGACAAAGGTATAGATATAGGTAAGACAGGCACAGATATAGATATAGACTTAGACATAGACCTGCATGCAGATATAGATCTAAGTGAAGATGAAGACATACAGGCATGAACTAATTCAAATCGATAAAACCATGAAGATATAGATATGGGAGCAGATATTGAAACAGACATAGATGTAGATATAGTCATGCAATTATGTAAAGTTAACTACGAAGTTCACCGCATTAGAGAACGAGGTACCGATGCTCAGACATGCGAATATAGGTGCAAACAGATGATAAATGCCTAGATATGGCCGCAATTGACTTCAACGTGGCCCCCCAAAGCTGATTACTTTAATTTACTAAAACCCGGTTCCTGTTATGATCTCGAGAAGAACTGGTGCGGATTTAAGCTTGCTTTAGCTTTCGATCCGCGTTGTCCCAAAACTACATCTTCAATATGACTCGTCATTTGCAAAGTATATGAGAGGGAAGAAAATATATCACATTTACATATACATATATATATATATAGAGAGACATGTAAAAGGAACGATAGGCAGATACCTAGGGTTTTATACAGACATACGGGCTTATTTATATACATACACATATTTATATATATATATATATATATATATTCGCATATATATACATATATATATATGAAAAGTTCACATATGAATCTATAGCCAGAGAGAACATACACAGATACAAAATATAAAGACATGTAGATACATACATAGATATACAGATATACAGATATTTATATATATATATATATATATATGTAGGCAGCTGTTTGTATACAGAGACAAATAGAAACATATTTATGGGTCTAGATACATCCACAAATTTGGGCATTGGTGCAACTACATATACATACAGTTACGTGTACTCTAAAAATAAACTACGACATATATGCAGTTATAAACATATAATAATGTAGATAATTTATCTGTGATTTTGGCTTATATTCATACATATGTATATACAGCTATGCACATATACATCTAGACAGAAGTAGAGATCCAAATATTAATGTTATCAATATATGCTACATAAAATTATAAACTTCATCGCATAGGGTGCATGTTTGAAAGTTATTACATGTGCACTTAAACTTTCAAACCTGTGTAGTCTTGCACCATTCCGCCTCGGCCGGTGGCTTCCGCCCCCGGCCTCGGCGGAAACTAAACTCTCTGTCGTAGCATCCTTATCATTTTATTGAACAGATCATTGGAATGATATCAATTGTTCTATGTTTGGAATATACTCGAACTTTTAAACCTATGTAGTCTTGCAAGTAGCCCCGTGTGGACGACAACTACTCTAAAATTCATACTTCTACTACCGAAACACATCAAAAAAGAAAAACTGTCTCACTCACTCACTTTCATTCAACCAGTCTTCTTCACTCCTTCTCACTCGCTGATTCTCATTCTCTCATGTTCACTCGCTCTTTCTCATCACGCGCTCGCGAACACTCACGCCCCCGCCAAAACAAAATCGATTTTAAAATCTTCATTTCTGTGTTTTCACGCGTCGCCGAAACAAATTTGGTTCGGCAACTGTCGTTTTTTGGGATTCTTAACCCCGTCAGTCCGTCTGTCCTTCCGTCCTTCCGTCCGTCCCGTCCGTCCGTACGTCCGTCCCCGTCCATCCGTCTTTCCGTGCGTCCGTCCCCGTCCATCCGTCCCCGCCCGTGAATCCTTCCCCGTCCGTCTGTCCGTCCCCGTCCCTTCTGTCCGTCCGTCCCCTTCCGTCCGTCCGTCCGCCCGCTTCCGTCCCCCTCCCCGTCCCTTCCGTTCGCTCCCTTCCCTCCGTTCCGTCCTTGTCCGTCCGCCCGTCCTCGTCCGTCCTCGTCCGTCCGTCCGCCTCATCCGTTTGTCCCTGTCCGTCCGTCCCTGTCCGTCCGCCCGTGTCCGTCCGTCCGCGTCCGTCTGTCCGTGTGTGTCCGTCCGTCCGTCCGTCCGTCCGTCCGTACGTCCGTAGGTCCGTCCCTTCCGGCCGTTCCTGTGATTGTCCGTTCATTCATCCTGTGTCCACAAGTTCAATCATGCGTTTGGCGGCTTTCAGTTTGGCGTTTGCGGTCTCGACTTTGAGCTTTTGCTGATTTGGGTATCGCGTTTGCCTTGTAAGTGAACGAAGTCACAAAAACAAATCTGTTTCTGGAATTGTCGTTTTTGTTTTCCTATCGCGGTCCGTCCGTCCGTCCGCGCGTCCACATCCATCCGTCCGGCCACGCCCGGTCCGTGCCGTTCGGGTCCGTCGAGTCCGTCCCGTCCCGCGCTGTCCCGACACCCGTCCGTCGGTGCGTCCGCATGTGCGTCCATCCGTCCGTCTGTCCGTGCGTCCATCCGAGCGGAAGCCGGCGAGATTCGCGTCAACGAACGCATTAGAGGAATGGGCCGGAGCCCCTTGTTTAAACCATGAGGGTTGGCTAGGGCGCCAGCTGCGCTGGCGGACCCTAAACCCTAAACCCTAAACCCTAAACCCTAAACCCTAAACCCTCAAGAAAGTGATAAATAGAAATTGCTTGTCCTTGTTTGTAACCACCGCTACGGCCCAACACAAAAGTTAAAAATTGAACAAGCTTCTTGCGGGGGCGGAGGCAGCTGGCTTTGTTCAGGGCCTTGACCTTTTCGAGCCGGCGCCCGAGCTTGACTGCGAGCCGGAGACAAACCAAGATTTCAACGACTTGCAGGTCGTGGTGGAGCACATCTTAGCCGAGGGTTCCGAGTTGGACGGCCATGAGGCTGCTGACCCTTGGGGCCGGGGCAACGACCCAGGCCGTCCTGAGTACCTTCTTGTCGACAAGGGCAGGGCCCGTCGGGGCCGGGGCAACGACCCAGGCCGTCCACGCAAGCTGCACGGCCATGAGGCTGCTGACCCTTGGGGCCGGGGCAACGACCCAGGCCGTCCTGAGTACCTTCTTGTCGACAAGGGCAGGGCCCGTCGGGGCCGGAGCAACGACCCAGGCCGTCCACACAAGCGTCGCCAGGGCGGGCTAGCGTGGCTGGCTTCCGGGGGTGATGGGGCTCAACATTGCCCCCCGTTGTTGCAGACGAATTGGCGAGGCCAGTCATCCTGGCCCACGCTTGCAACGAGACCACTGTCCTTGGACGGGAGTGCGTGTTGGTGAAGCCCAGCACCCAGGGCCCATGGATGCAGCGACCAGGAATGAGATCCAGGCGATGATTCAGCAAGGCCTTGCCACCGCGTTGGCTGCGATGGACTGGACAGCCATCATTGCGCAGGTCCTCCCCTCAGCATCGCCGCCGACAAGGACAGTCCGATTGCGGCCTGCTGAAGAAGACCAGCCCAAAGGCAAAGGCCGTAAGCGAAAGAAGAAAACCGACGCCGAAGCGGAGGCCATGGACATCGACTATGCGAAGGCCGCCGGGAAAGCCGGCCTCGGTGGCAAGCCCAGTGCTCGGGTAAGGAATGAACTGCCGGTGGCCGGAAATGATGCTACCCCCACTCGCCCGGCAAACAGGGCAAGGGAAAGGAGCCCACCGTGACGAGCCGGACTCAGGGTGGACCACTGTTGCACGGAAAGCCCCGCAAGGAGAATTCCAACTTAGAGCCCAAGCCAGCCCCAGCCCCAGGACGGTCAAAACGTCTCGCTCCAAAGCTTCGCTCAAAACGTTTCGCAGCGCCCCAAGAAAACCGAAAACATGGTTCGCAAAACAATCAATACATTCCGGTCATAACGTATCGTACAATATGTTTCGGTCTGCAACACGCACATTCTTGAGAGTTAGGGTTTAGGGTTTAAGGTTTAGGGCACCCTTCTATCGTTCTCACCTCCCTCCATACCTCTCCCCAAAAGGGTTCGAAAGTTTCGCCCAAAACGTTTCGCAGCCCTAAAAAAAATGAAAACATGGTTCGCATAACAAAAATTTCGCTCAAACCAAAACTGAAAGGAGCCGAGGGGTCCGGGACTAGCGAGTGGTGCTCCCGCTCGACCCCCCGACTCCTTTCCGGAATGGGGTTCGTGGCTTAGCCCCTCGCCATACCACCGTGGGGTTCTCGGCTTAGCCCCTCGCCACGAAACAAAACCAACAAAGCGCACTCACTCAAAACCTGACTACCTCTGAGCCCCAAGCCACCTCCCAAAGCCGAAAAACCCTGAACACCCAAGCCTTGCGCACTCCGACCTCGCTGCCTCAGAGCCCAAACCCACCTAGAACCCCTGAAACCTCGCGAGGGAGTGCCCGGCGGAACAGAGACGAAAGGACCGAGCCTCGGGAATAGTTTTGAGATTTGGGACTAAGGGTTTTACACTTAGGGGCTTGAGGCTCAAGGCCGAGCGTTTTCGAATCTAGAACTTAAGGGTAAGGATTTCCAACGTGGGGTTATAGGATGTGGGATCAAGGGTTCTGCACTTGGGAATTTTGGATTGAGAGCGTTGGACCTCGGATTCGGGAAGGAGCTTCGGATCCAATGATTCGGGGTTAAAGGTCGGAGTGTTCGGACTTCAGGGTCAGTGTGAAGGATTCGAGTATTCGAGGCTTGGGCTAAAGTTCCGAACAAGGCTTGGGTATCTAGAGTTTTAGAGGACAGTTTACTGAGACCTCCGCTCGAAAGAAAATGGATAGACCTGAAGAAGCAAGCCTGAAGGATTTGAGTTAGGGATTTCGGGTTTTGCAACAAGAATGTCGAGTTAAAACAACGGCTTCATGGTTCGTAGATTAAGATAGTCTGCGGGCTCTCAGATACGGGAGTTTAGACATAAGTCTAGGATATCGGATTTAGGGCTTGAGACCTAGATCGTCCAAGAGAGCCCGAGACCTAAAACGCCCGACAAAACCCCGAACCCTCAGCAAAACCCGACGCAGCTGCACACCACACCTCACGACCTCGGAAAACCAACCCACCTGCCGAGACCGGAAAACACCCGAACGCCCAAGCCTTGCGCACTCGGACCTCGCAACCTCGGAGCCCCGACCACCTGCAATCCCTGAAGCCTCGACAGAGTCCCCGACCAAGATGAAGAGGTCCGAACCTGAGCGGCTAGGGTCCATGGTCAAGGGTTTCCGAGTTGAGGGTCTAAAGATCGAGCGGAGCTTTAAGTGTATGAAAAGTTCGAAATCAATGGCTGGCAACTCCGATCAATCCTTCCTGTTCAATTGGCCCAAGCCTTGTAGAGCGATGGAGTTATCTACCGAGCCAAATTGCAAGGTTTCGCACTAGGCATTAAACATCTGGGATGCAAAGTTTCGGATTGAAAGTTTCGGTTTGGAAGCTCAGGAGTAGAACTAGCGCTTGACTTCAAGAGTTGGAGCTTTGGATTCGGAGTTTTGGAGCTAAGGTCTTGACCTTACGATCTGGGTTCGGGTTTCGGATGTGGAGCTTTGGAGTTAAGCCATTAGATATTGGATTTAGGGTATAGGACCTAAGCAACCCAAAAGAGTTCAGGGCCTACCACACCTGAGACAACGCGAAACCCCGAACAGGTACCCTGGGCGGCTGCACTCTAAACCTGACTGCCTCGGCAAACCAACCCACCTCGCAAGACCGAAACAACCCTGAACACCCAAACCTTGCGCACTCGGACCTCGCTACCTCGGAGCCCTAACCACCTACAATCCCCGAAGCCTCGGCAAAGAGTGCCCGACCGGGATGAAGAGGTCCAGACCTGAGGCGAAGCAAGCAGAGGGGAGCTGAAGAAGGACTTAAAGTAAAAGCAAGACCGGGCACTGCCAGACATCCTCAGGCCAACATAACGAAACCTCAAGCAAAACCCGAAGCCCCGCACACGCGGCCGTACCTACACTCCAACAGCTCCACGGCTGCACTCCGAGGTCCCGGCCGCACGCCGCTCGCTCCGACGGCCCGCGCCGCCCCACCGACCCCCGCGCCACGGCTTGACCAAGAAAAAGGGCAGCTCGGGCACAAGGTCAGCAAGGCTGCAAAACAACAGCGCAAGTCTCACAGCGGATTTTAACGGAGGCCCTCAAAAAGACCCCCCAAAGCACAGACATCAACAAAAGCATATGAGCAGGGAAACTCCTCGCAGGTTAACACAATCACACCGGAATCAATCACTCGCCGTTTGTAAGGCTTCCATTGCGAGCGCTTACTGAATGCTCGAGTTTGTCGGTGTCTACCTGCGGCCACGACAGCAAAGCTGGCAGAAGTAATCTGGCTAGAAGAAAGCAGGCATGTGGTGCAAAAACCATGTATCAAGGAGCCGCGGAACAAAACCACCGTGCAGTATGCCACAACACTTGCTGAGGTCCCTCCCTCCCTCCCTACCCCTCTCTCCTTTTCGGTGACCTAACGAGCCCTTTTAGAGCATTCCAAGGCAACTGAGAGCATTTGAGCATTCAAATGCCTTCGAAATCACGACAGAAGCGTACTAGAGGCTTTTTAGGAAATTACGACGTGTCACCAGAAGGTGTTTCTCACCACATGTCTACCGCCTAGCAAGAGCGCCCTTGCATCGCACAGACTCCGGTAGTCTGTGGATGCTCAGCTCCAATGCCGGAAACATCAAGTCTTCTGGAAGCAGCCGAAGGCGAACAAAAGGTGCAGATGTATTCTATTCTAATGCAAGGCCCGCAGATCGCAGGAATCCAGCAGAGCATAAAGTTTCGAGGACAACTCAGAAGAACCCTTTAGAATCGATACGCATCCTACATCAACTTCGAGATGACGATCCTAGTAACTACCATTGTTGCACGCCACCAATTTCGCGGCCGCCCCCCCCCCCCTCCCTTTCTTTCTCTCCCGCCAAGCTTCGTGTCAAGTTTGGTAAAACTTCGCGTTTGCTGTTGACACCAAGTACATACGTTTTCGCGTGAACTTGTTTATGCGACTTGGAAGTCACAATGATGCTACTGGTATCTGCAACTTTTGCACTGGATCAATTTCGTGGCCCCCCCCCCCCCCCCCCGCGTAGCCCCAACCTCAGGACAGTCAAAACGTCTCGCACAAAGGTTTGGTTAGAAACGTTTCGCAGTATTCGCGTTCGATGTTGACACCGAGTACATACGTTGCCGCGTGAACTTGTTTATGCGACTTGAAAGTCACAATGATGCTACTGGTATCTGCAACTTTTGCACTGAATCAATTTCGTGGCCGCCCCCCCCCCCCCCGTAGCCCCAGCCCCAGGACGGTCAAAACGTCTCGCTCAAAAGTTTCGCTCGAAACGTTTCGCAGCCCCCAACAAATTTGAAAGACCAGCCCCAGCCTCCAGCCTCAGCCCCCGCCCCAGCCCCAAGACGGTCAAAACGTCTCGCTCCAAAGTTTCGTTCAAAACATTTCGCAGCCCCCAAGAAATTGGGAAACATGGTTCGAAAAAAAAAACTTTCGGTCAAAACGTTTCGTTCAAAACGTTTCGTTCAAAACTTTCGGTCAAAAAGTTTTTGGGACCCAAACCCTTAACAATTTCTATAAACCCTAAACCCTAAACCCTAAACCCTAAACCCTAAACCCTAAACCCTAAATTTTAGACGGCCAGAGGCCGAAGGTGCGCCAGCGCAGGTTCTGGTTTGATGCCCAGCAGGTACGCAGGATTTAAGGCAAGCAACGGTCGACCACAGGGCAGTTTAAGTAAATTGACAAGTTTTTTCTAAGTGCAACTGAACGGTTTAAGTAAATTGAAATGACCAAAGCAACACACCCAACCCTAAACCTTTAACCCTAAACCCTAAACCCGAAAACCCTAAATCCTAAACCCGAAAACCCTAAACCCTAACCCTAAACCCGAAAACCCTAAATCCTAAACTGAAGGCCGACCCCCCACCGCAGCGAATGGGGTCGGCCGCAGCAGGCGGACCGGAAGGCGCCTGCCGGACCGTAGGCGACGGCCGAAAGGCAAGCCGTAGGTCCTGGACCTCAGGTCCACGCGGCGCCAGTGAATAGGCCGCTACTGTCAGCCTATATAATAATAACCCTAAACCTCAGTGCAAACCGGCCGGGGACGCTTGAAATCCTCCAACCTTAAATTAAGGACCTGTCGGCCACAATTAAGGATTGAGACTTCAAATTAAGGACGAGGCTTTAAAATTAAGGATTGGAGCCGAAAATGAAGGACCGGTGCTCCAAAATTTTGGATTGGAACCTAAAATTGCGGACCGGCCCCAAGACCCGGCGGTACTATCTGTTACGGCCAAGAGCCAGAAAGAGCCACCAAGACCCGGCAGTACGATTTGTTACGGCCAAGAGTGGGCCAGAAAGAGCCACCAAGACCCGGCAGTACGATTTGTTACGGCCAAGAGTGGGCCAGAAAGAGCCACCAAGACCCGGCAGTACGATTTGTTACGGCCAAGAGTGGGACAGAAAGAGCCACCAAGAACCGGCAGTACGATTTGTTACGGCCAAGAGTGGGCCAGAAAGAGCCACCAAGACCCGGCAGTACGATTTGTTACGGCCAAGAGTGGGCCAGAAAGAGCCACCAAGACCCGGCAGTACGATTTGTTACAGCCAAAAGTGGGCCAGAAAGAGCCACCAAGACCCGGCAGTACGATTTGTTACGGCCAAGAGTGGGCCAGAATGAGCCACCAAGATCCGG